TCAGGAACCAACTGTATACCATGTATACAGTATACCATTGGGAAGATACATCCCCGTCAGACATTTGCTCTTCCTAATTCTGGTTGACATACATGAAGATGTGAGGAACAAGATGAATCTTCCTAACACATGGCCGTGCACACATCACCCCCCATTTCTCTCCTGCTCAGAATGCACCAAGAGCTCTCTATTACCCACATGGCACAGCGTAAATTCCTGACTGGGCCTGTGGGTCTGACCTGTTTCTGGCTGGGCTGCTGGAACTTCTCTCAGCCCAGACCCTGCACCACAGTCAGACAATGTGCCCACTGCATCATTACAGCCCGTCGATGCCTGACCCTATGCCTTTGCCCAGGCTGTGTCCCCAGCCTGGCCTGCCCTCTCTCTCTCCCACACGGTTTGGCCCCATCCCAAGGTGGTCCGCTTCAGAACACTATCCCTCAGTGATCAATTCATCTCTATATGACCCCTTCTTCTAGGTCTCTCCCGTGGGAGCCTTGTATTTTCGCTTCCTTCTCCTGAGTACATTTTCACTTCCCAACAATGCTGGGACCAGCCAGAATATACCACTGTGTCTCCAGTGTTCAGAAGGACACCTTACAGGCAACTCCTGGGTTAAGGTTTTGCTGATGCTAAACACAAGGACAGGTTTTGCCCCTCTTACTGCCATGAGGGTGCAGAAGGAAAGACGGAAAGATGCACCTCTGTGCTCCTCCCACTCCATCCAGGCCTGTCACCAAATTGCTGGACGTCAGCTTGTTGAAGGCCACTGAAGTGGTAAGACTCCCAGGTAAAGCTCTGTCCACAGGCCCCCTCCCAGGGACTAAGACACAAGAGAGAGAGGTCCGAATGGTCTTTGTGGTTCTAGATACCAAAACTCCTGAGAAGAGGAGCTGAATAGAAGTAGAGGGTGGGGGAAGGGCAACTCAAGGGTGCTAATCCCAGCTTCCTGTCTGGATTTTCCTTGACTGCTGCTCAGGGCCTATCTTAGGATGGTTACAGCTGCCGAAATAGATCTCTCCCCTCACCTGTTCTGAAGTCAAGAAGACCTTGATAACTTCCTGTCAAAAGAATGCATGCTTTGGTCATTTTTCCAGGATGTGGGATAATAATGGGGGTACTGGTGCTGATCTCCCCACGCTTCTCCACCTCTGCCAAGCAGCAGCCAGGAATGAGGGAGCAAAGAGCCACGGGGGTGGGGGGGGGGGGGTCAAGGGGCCAGCCATCCGTTTCTGGCCAGGGCCCAGCCTTTTCTGTGAACTTGGTTGATGTTTCCGTCCTTGGTCTGCTCCAGAAACCACTCCTGGCCCAAAGGATGCCCCTCGGATTCAGACTGACGGAGAACACACCCTTTGCCCTCAGTCACCTGCCCTTCCCTGCCAAGCCTGCATACAGAATGTTCTGTTCTTGCTTAACTCATCATCCTAGCCAATCCTGGGACCTGAAAACCAAGTGTTGGCATTGGCGCCCGAATTCCCAGCCCCTCCCTCATTCACTCACAAACATGAGCCCCGGGGCTTGGTCCTGGAAGTGCGCACGGGTGGAAGGTACAGCGAGGACCTGGGAGCCCGGCGGCGCAGGGCTGTTGGAGGTGGACATCCGGCAGAGGGAGCGGCCTCCTGGGGCAGGGAGTCCTCGGGGACTCCTTGTTCCCCGCCACCCCTTCGCCAAGGTGAGGAGAGCAGAGCGTGCCCCGAGCACCGGCGCCGGGGAGGGACCTGCGCATGCGTGGGAAGAGGCTTTGGCGTCGCCCTCGTCGCCCAGGTAACCCTGACCCGCAGGTGCCAGCATGGCCTCCGGCACTGGAGGGAGCTGGGGTCAGGCCCCACCGCAGAGTGCCGCCCGGACGGTGAGGGCTGAGCCGGCTTTTACCTGGGAGGCCTGGGGGTTGGCCAACTGGGGAGCCGTCCCCGGAGGGACGGAACCCTGGAGGAAGTGGGGTGGGCGCAGAGAGGGACTCCAGCCGCCCAGGAGACTCCGGGAACCGGGAGCCCGTGCGGGCAGGGAGGAGAACGAGGCGGCCCCGCGGGGCGAGGTCACTCGCGGGGTGCACGGGGGCGGAGGGTGGGGAGAACTTGGTCGGATCCCTTGCCGGCCTCGCAGAGCTGAGTCTCCCCCTCCCCCCAGCCCTGGGTGACAGTCCTGCAGCCCGTCGCGTGGGCAGTCCCACAGCCAACCCCGCAGCCGGGTGGATTGAAGGAAGGTGAGACTCCGGGCTCACCCGCCTTTGTACCCCACTCTGCTTCGCACATTCTCTGGGCGTCCTCGTTGCACCTCCCTCCCGCGCGTTCCTGGGCTGGGCGTTGGGGGGTGGGGCGGGGGAGGTAAGCCCCTGGGAGCCGGGCGGTGGGCAGTGGGAGGCCTGGCGTGGGCCTGCTGAACTCCCCCTTCCCCCCGCCCGCCAGACCTGCTGGAACTGATGTTGCTGCAGAACGCGCAGATGCACCAGCTGCTGCTGAGCGGGCTGGTGGCCGCAGCGCTCAACCAAGGACCAGTGTCTCGCCACCCGCAGGTGCGTCAGCTGGGGGTGGGGTGCAGGTGTGCCACCGGCGTCACCCACCTGCAAGTCCAAGGGTGGGGATCCATCTGGGGTGGATCCTGGAGAAAAAGAATCAGGCAACAGTGCAGCTGTCCCCACTGGGTCCCTTTGGCATGTTATGTGCCAGGGCCCCAAAGCAGCACGGAGTGGGAGTCCCCAAATCCAGAGCACTCAGGTCTTGTGTTCAAGGAGGTCTCCCTGCCAGTGTACCCCCTACTAGACTGCAGGCTTAGGAGGACAGGCACCCTGTACCCAGAGTCTGCAGGTTGCCGAATACTTATTAGGAGCTCTGGTGATATTTGTTGAACAAGTAAAAAGATAAATGAATGACTGTGAATATAAGGCGACTTTGCCCGACCGACACAGGGAGAGCAGAAAGGTAGGAGCGAGCGCGCGTGCCCTGGGGAATAAGGAAGGGCTCCTTGGAGGAGCAGGTGACCTTGGAACCAGTCCTTGAGAGCCAGGTAGGATTTTGGCGCTTGGAGGAGGCCAGGTTGTGTCCACCATCCAGGCTGTGCAGGCTGCCGGCCCTCTTCACACCCCAGCCTTCAGGGGGTGCCTGGGATGAGCACCCCACCTCCCTGATGGGGCTGGTGGGTCCAGGGGCGAGGCCAGATGCAGGTCACTGGCCTCCTGACCCCGCTCTGGAGTCATACCTGGATTCTTCCAGTCCCTGCTCAGCCACTTATTAGCGGGCGACCTTAGACAAGTTTCTCAACCTCTCTGAGCCTCAGTTTTCCCTCCTGCAAAATAAGGAAAAAACGTCTCCGAAGTACCTGACTTGCCCACAGTAGCTGCTCAGTAAAGGGAAGCCGGTTTATGATGCTCATCTGGGGAAGTCAGAGGAACAGAGAAGTGGGGGTGGGGACACTGGGTCCTGTTTCATCCTCTCTCCTCCCTTTGTCCCCCAATCCCCAGGTCTACCTGGAGGGTCAACAGGAGGAGGAGGAGGAGGAGAAGGAGGAGGAGATGCAAGCCCTGGAGGAAGGGCCTTTGGTGATTCACCACCACTACCTGCCCTGCCCGATGCCCATGCTGGGCCCCTCGCTACCCTGGCCGGTCCCTTCCCCTTCCCTCCCCCAACATCAGCCCCACTTGCAGGACACAGCCAGGATTCAGCACTGCCCTCCTGCCTCTCGGAAAAGGGGAGGGTAAGTGAGGACAGGGGATCTGGGTGTTGCCGAGGTCCTGCTCTGGGGCTGGGCTGGAAGAGCCCACTAGGAGCTGGGCGTGGGTGAAGATACCTCTGGGTAAGGCCCTAGAGACCGCTTCTGATGAGGGGGGGTCTTTCTTTTCTTTCCTCCATGTCAGGAGAGCTGTAACCGTGCCTCCACCCCCACCTCCCAGTGCCACAGGCACTGTGGGTGCGGATGTGCCCCCCGCTTCAGGTAGGGGCAGGGCGGGTGGGCAGTGGGGCCCAGGGATGGGTCAGGAGGCCAGGAGGGCCATGTTGGGGGCCAGGGAGCACCTGTCATCACTGCTGCAGGCCACTGGCCTGTCCCCTTCCCTTTCGCTCCTTGGGGCCCTGTTAGGCAGGCGGGAGCCAAGACACAGGTGCCGTCTCTCCCCAGACTACTATGATGCAGAGAGCCTACCATGAGGACAGACACCGGCCCTGGGACCCTGCCAGCTTCATTGCAGAGCTGGAAAGAGCCCTGGAGCCCCTGAGTGCCCCTCTAGAGCCTACAACTCTGCACCCATGCCTGGCAGCCCTCCCCAACCCCCTCCCAACCCCTCAACCACAGCCAGGCCCTCTTCTGTGTGAATCAAAACCCTCTTCACCACATGGAGACCTTGAACTGGCCTCAGCTCTGCCCCGGAGCACAGGCCCCTCTAAGCGCATCCAGAGCTGGGAAGCCGCCGCCAGTTGGGGGCCTTGGGGGTCTGGGAACCAGAGCCCTCCCTTGACCTCCTCCACTCACCCCTATCTGGGATGGCAGTGCTGTCGGGTCTTGGTGGCCTAAAGACAGAGCAGGAGGTGAGGGAAGGACGGCTTTTGTTGTGCAAGGCTCTTTGAAGGCCTAGAGTGATGGGAGAGAGGCCTGGCTAGGAGGGTCCTGGAGCTGAGCCAGTTCCCTTGGGCCCACCCTTGCCACAGGAAGCTGGCTCTTTTGGCCAAAAGAAGCCAGAGCCATCCTGCTCCAAGCAGCAGTGGCCTGAGGTCCCCGAGTACCAAGTAGGAACAGAACATCTTTCTGCCCTCCTGGGCCAGGGCGTGTCTCCCCCAGTGTCCCTCAGCAGAAATGAGTCACTCAGGGCTCCACGAGGATGGGTGTCTGGTGCCTGGGCTGGTCAGCATGGGGACACCCCAGGGCCTGGCCTGGCTGGGGCTCTGGAAGGCCCCTGTGAGGGAGAAGGTTGAGGGAGGCTTAGGAGACCTTTGGGGAGAGAAGTCCAGGCTCAGTGGTTGCCTTTCCTGGCTCTGGAGTTCTATCCCAGGAGAAGACATGGAGGCACAGGATTGGGTCCACGTGTTTATATGCAGACTAGAAAAGGAAACGACCCCATTGTCCTCGGCTGCTTGTAACCGTCCCGCAGCCAGGGCTAGACCACAATCCTGAGGAGTCCCGCTGAGTTCCAGCAGCTGCTGTGGCGGTGGCCATGCCACTCGTGTAGGCTGTGCCAGTAGGCCTGACTCAGGCCCCACCTAAGCATCTTGTACCCCGTAGGCGCCCATCCGCCTCTGGCGCCAGTGCTGGCCCAAGATGAAGCACAGGAGGATAGACGTCACAAACAAGAAGAGCAGCACCGACACGACGGAGATGATGACGACCATCTGGTTGTCCGGTGTGGGCTCTGGGGAGGGAAGAGGGGGCAGGGGTCTTAGATGTCCCCTGGTCCCTGATGGCAGGGCCCAGGGGGGAGTAGATGTCTGCCTGTCACCTGCCGACGCCTCATCTGTTTTGCAGCCACCTGAGCTGCAGAGAGGAATGGTCAACGGTGTCGGATCTCGGGGAAAGTTAGGCGGGGTCCAGGCCACCAGCCAGCCCTCTGTGAGGCCGTGGATGTTCTCCTGCCACCGGCCCTTGGCACCAGCATATGCTGGCCACTGTGGCCTGGACGGCAGCGTGGTCCAAGCCCAGCCCTGCCCTGGGCAGAGCTGAGTGAGCTCCTACCAAACTCTCCGAAGACAGGGAACACCTTGACCATCAAGAGCCACGGAATAGCGGAGCTCCAAGGGGACCTCCGGGCCCAACCTCTGAACGCAAAGAGGGGCCGTGGCCAGAGAGAGGAGGATGCCTTGGTCAAGGTCACGCAGTTCACTCATTGCTAAGCAACTAGTTCAGTTCCAAACTGGGCACTCAGAGAGAGCTCCGGGGAAGAGTGAGAGGGAAGCCCTGGGATTCAGTGCGGGGTCCCTGGGTGCCTGCCCCCTGAGCTGGCAGAGGGTGTGCTGAAGGCTTTTTCCTCCCCTAAGGAACAGAAAGCAATTGTCCTCTCCCACCCCTCCCATCCTGGGGTTGCCCCTCACCATAGACCTTGAGCATCTGGGGCTCGGAGACGTGGTGAATGATGTCCCCGCCGCGAGACCGCAGATCCAGGCGGGCGTGGCACGAGAAGTTGTGGCGGCCGTCCTCCCTGTGAGCCATGCCCTTGTGCGTGGCCGTGGCTCCTTGGGTGTCATTTTTCTCCCCCGTAAAGGTCTTGTTGCACAGGGTCTCCTTGCCACGGAGCAGGGTGAGAGTGAGGCTCTCAAGGGGTTTCACATCCGGCACGTGGCACTCGATGGTGAAGGACTTCCCCACAGCCACCCACGTGGGCTGTATCTTCAGGAGCATTTGCTTGGGAGGGTCTGCAGGGAAGGAGGAGGGAGGGCTGGTCAGGGTGAGCGTGTAGTCCCAGGCTCCCCACCCTGCCCCTGGCACTGCTGTGTTCTCGGGGCCTCGGCTAGTCATGGGGAGGAGGGCCCGGGCCTGGCCTGCTCTAGAGCACAAGGAGAGGAAGGAGGAAGCAGTTCAAGGTGAAGGATGGATGGGCTGGGAGTTTTACCAACATGACGTTTTCTGGAATCGACAAGTATCGAGGTGGTCAGGGGTCTACGAAGAGGAGGTCTAGAAATTGTACAGTCGACTAGGAACAAAAAAAATTTGGATCTGTCTCCTTCTTTTCCAGAAATCAAACATAAATTTCCATATCAAACAGCTCAATAATTGTCCTGAGACTAAAAAGGGAGTGCTCACTGGAACTGGGCCAAGGGTTGTGGGGTCTTCACTTAAGGGGTGGGGGCTGGAGTCCGACCTGCCTTGCTTAGTTAGACCTGCCATCCCTTGTCTGTTAAACGGGACCCTCAGTGGTAGCCTGGATACCCTGCCCCCTCACCCCGAGGTCATATGTTGGATTTAGGACATGTTCCTTTTCACTTGATCCCCTGATGCTGGTCATGGGGAGCACCAAGCCATAGCCTTGGTGCCGAGATGTTGAGAGAATCCTGCCCTCCGGGAAGGTCTCCCCGGCCTGTGTGCAGGTGTGTGTGTGGGGGTGATGGTCCCACATTTGCCAGGGGCTCTCAGGAATATAAAAGCAGGGGTGCCTGGGTGGTTCAGTCGATTAAGCATCCAATTCTCAGTTCCGGCTCAGCTCATGATCTCAGGCTTGTGAGATCGAGCCCTGAATCTGGCTCCACGCTCAGCACTGAGTTGGCCCGGGTTCTCTCTCCCTCCCTCTCCCCTCTCTCCCTACCCACCTCTCTCAAATAAATAAATAAATCTTAAAAAAAAAAAAAAAGAAAGAAAGAAAGGACTATAAAAGCACCAGGTGATGCGTTAACCTCCTCTCCGTGAGACAAAGGGGTGACTGGAGAGCATGGTGGCCCTTCTGTTGGCACCCTGCTATTTGTGGGGGGGTAGGGGGAGCCCAGGGGGGTGGGGGCCAGAGCGAGTGCCCAGGGTAGCTCTGCAGACAGCAGACACGGGCTCTGCCTGGTGAGGAGGGCCCCACAGGGCAGCACTCACAGAACACGCTGACGTTAAGACTCTTCAACTTCTGACTCCCGAAGCAGGTGAAGTGGCAGTGGACGACGGTGTCCTGGGAGATGTTGGAGACCAAGAACTGCTTCCACTGGGGTCCGGACTGGTTCAGGGTCTTGGTGAGCGTGGTCTCCAGGCCCCCGGTCTTAGGGTTCGCACAGCTGGTGCTACAGTTGACCAGCTGGGACCCTCCGGGCTCCACCACCAGCTGCTCTGGATACATGTGGACCTCGAACTCCTCCCCAGACCCTGGAAGACCAGAAAGACAGGGCAGCAAAGGTCTCTGCTGCCCTGGCCCCTGCTGGCAGTCTGATCACGGGACAGGTGCCCAAGAAGATAGGCCAGAGTTGGCCCCTCTGCCACTCTTCTCTTGTTCAGGCCTTGCGTATCGCCTGTGTCTAGACTGTGGGCAAGGCTTTGCATATTGCCCGGGTCTAGACCACAGAGGCTGTCCCACAGCCATCTCCCTGCCTCTGGGTGCTCTTCCTTCAGCCCACCACCTTTGGATGAGTCTTCTCCATGCACAGCCTCTATGCAGAGGGATCCTATGCAACCTTCAAAGCCCAGCCCAAATGCCCCCTCCCTTCATGAAGGCCTCTCAGAGATGGAGGTGGACTGGGTCCTCTGGGCCTTTCCTCCCTCCTTTCCTTCCTTCTGCAAATATTTTTTGATTACCTGCTGTGTGCCAGGCCCTGTTCTAGGCTCCAGTGACACAGCAGTGACCCAAGCAGACCCAACCTTGCCCTTGCAGAGCTCCCATTATCATGAAGGAGACAGACAATAATCAGCAAGTGAGATAGCCAGCTGGTCAGACAGTGATCAGTGCCTGGGGCGGGACAGGAATGGGGTGGAGTTGCCATTTTAATAGGGTGGTCAGTTGGGACCTCACCAAGGCATCGACATTTGAGCAAAGACATGGAAGAGGTGGGTGTGAGCCCCGCAGATACGTGGGGAGCAGGGAGTGTTCCCGGAGTTAAGACCCTGGGTCAAGGGCATGCTTGGTGTGCTTGGGGACCAGCAAGACCAGGATGGGGTAGAGCCCAGTGAGGAGGAAGGCAGGGGGAGAGTAGTTCAGGAAGGTAATGGGACCACCTTGCCAATGACTGGTAGAGCTTCTAGAAGGCAGGGCCCAGATTTCCCTCAGTGCTCAGCACAATGCCCCGTGTGCGACGGACATTCAGAAGTATTTGATGCATCAAGACTGAGTCCTCGGAGCTCACTTCCCACTCAGAGGGTCCTTGATCTCAACCAGCTGGGCCTGTCCTGTGCTCCCTCCACACCAGCATGTTCCCACTCAGCCCTCAGCGAGTGGCATATAATGAAGAGGCAAGGAGCTTTGCAGGTAGACGGAGCTGGATTTGAATCCTGAGTTTGCCATGTACCAGCTGTGTGACCCTGGGCAGGGGGCTTTCTCTCTCTGAACCTGTTTCTTCATCTGTCAAAGGGGCTAGTAACCCCTTTCCTGCAGGGTTATGGTGAGGTAGCCCTTGAAAAGCCCCTGGAAGTTTGTCCAAAACAGGCTCAGCACACGGTAGCACTTTCCTCCACAGTCCCCTGACTCCCTGGAGGACGCCCTTGGACAGTAGTCAAAAGGCCATGTCCTCTGCTGCCCCCTGCTGTCCCTGGGCCACATCTGAAGAACAGCTGGGGCATTCCCTCCCCTTCCCTTGAACCCCAGCATCGCCTCCGGCCTCAGGCCTCACACAGCCCACCACTCAGCCTCCACGACCTGCCACTTCCACAGGCCCTGAAGCCATGGGGCCTGTTCAGCCTGCTGTCCCACAGGCCGGCTTCCCCCCACCATCCAGGATCATGGGGGAACATGGCTGGCGCGGCATCCAGCGCCCAGGCTGGGCTACCACTGTGTTCAAAGCTTCAGTGACTTCAGGATCAGCCCTGCCTCCCACCCCAGACACCAGGGAGCCGGCAGCTCCCACTTTGGGCTGGCACGTGCCAAGTCAGGAACCCCAGGTACCAGCTCACCTGGGCAGCAGAACAGGGCAAGAAGGGCGGTGGGCAGACCCCAGCATCCAAAAGGGGACATCTCGAGTGGCATCCACAGGCTTGCTGGGAACAGCCGAGGGCCTCCTGGAGGGAGATGGTGGACCCAGGTCAGGGAGTGGTGGCCTAGAGCTACAGCCCGGAACCCCAGCCTTCTATGAGCTGATGACCACATTTCCTCTCATTATCTGAGAGGTCTTCTGGAAGCCACGTGGAAGGCCAGCTCTCAGAGCTCCAGGCCTGCAGGAACGCAGGCGGAGGAAGCTGGGAGGGAGCCGATAAGCCAGGGTATACCCTGGCCTCCCGCCATGCTGCTGGGCAGGGGGCAGGGCGAGTGGCAGGCACGCATGTGTGCGAGGGTTGTGTATGCACATGGGGCTCGGGGCACTGTGTGAGCACAAAGGACAGTGAGGCCTACAAGCCCCAGATCTGAGAACCCCCAATCCCACAGGTTACATTATTGAGTTCCCTTCTGGGAACAGAATATCTGAAATCAGGTCTGCCCAGGACATGCCGTCTCCGTCGCAAAGTGGGCCGGGAGCTGGTCTTCTCTAAGGACACCCGGGCAGGCCCTGGAGGCTCTCCAGGGGACACCCCCACTGCCCCCTGACACAGCTACTGAAACCTCCACACCTACCAGGCTCACGACCTCAACCCTCCCTGACCCAGCCGATAGGGACAACTTGAGGGAAGAGCTCCCATGACAGTCCCCAGCAGCTCAGGCACTGACAGAGGTAATGGGGGTCTGTCTGGCTGTAGCCCAAACCCCCAGCCTCCATTTCCAGGGCCTGGCTTATGGTGTCTCCCCCCAACCCTTCAGGGGAGCCTTGGTCCAGGGAAGGGGGCATTGCAATGCTTTGTCACCTACTGAGGGAATCCCCAGAAGCAGGAGTCCCTGGGACCAGCAGGGTGTGTTGTGTGTGTGTGTGTGTGTGTGTGTGTCTGTCTGTCTGTCTGTCTTTTGCCCAGGGAGCTCCAAACAGCTTCTGGAAGGGTTTGTGCCTGTGAATCCCAATCGCACGCACAGCTGGACCAGCCAGACTCCATCCCCACCAGTGTTCAGCAGAAGCTTCTGGGGCCCACAGGTCCTGCTTTAAGCTGGTCAGCCCCTGTTCCCACCCACCATTTCCTCTTTGATCTCTAGGGAATGTGCTTTGGCATCTGATAGCTTACACATCAACATCCCCCCCACCCCGCCCCCTGCTGGCCTAACCACCACCCCCACCCCCCCACCGCCCCCGTGAGGGCGGAAGCTGATTCTAGAGCTGTTTGCCGTTCTAGAGCGGATATGGTAGGTTGTACCTGGCAAAGAGTTGATGCTGAGTAACTGTCCAGTAAGAGGATAGATGGAGGGCGGGAGGGATGGAGGGAGGGATGGATGGATGGAAGGAGGGAGGGGGAGGGATGGATGAGTAAATGAACAGAAGAAGTAGTTTGTCTTGGTGTACAACCCAGATAAGATTGGATCGGAGTGGGGGGATCTTTCTCTTTGTGCCCAGTGTACCTTTCTCCTGGTGATGTCTCTGCTGACCCCCAGGCCACTGAGCTGAGCTGAACACCTAACAAGGCCAACCAGGGCTCTTCATCCCCCAAAGATGGGCCCTCAAACTGGGCAGTGGTTTTTCTGGGACTTTCTGAACCAGAACTGGTAGGAACAAGCCCTTCCCTTTCTGATCCTAGCAGAGGCCCCCATGAGCCAGCAGCTATCAGCCCTTATGCCCCAGCAAGTGAAGAAGCTGATAGAAAGGAACTTGACTCAGTGGAGGGAAGGTGACTCAGAATTGTCCCAGATCACGTGCTGGTTGCCAGATGGCCTCTGGATGGCAGGGCTGGTGATGATTCTGTGTGGCAGAAATGAAAAAGCTTTCCAAGCCGGAAGGTTCTGGCCCTTCAAACCTGCCCACGGGAGTCACGGTCCTTGTGAAATGGGAGTTACTTGGAGCCCCGTTCTGCCTCCTGGAACTTCTGGGGAAGACTTGGGAAGGCGGTGTTGGGGGCGGAAGTGCTATCCTTGCATGAGGCCGTGAGGCCTTCTGGGAGAAAGAGTGAAGTGAATTTGGCAGCCTGATGATCAGACCCTAAAAGGCCAAGGTAGATGCTTCCAAACGAAGAGGGAAGACCAACACTTCCTGTCACCAAGAAGTTGCCCAGGGATGATAGGAACCCAACCATGATGTCGATGAGAGAAGAAATTCAGGTGCTCCTTCTTGGAGCTCTGTTCTACTACCAAATAGTCCCTGCCATGTTCTTTAGGTCTCTGAGCTCTCCAGTGAAGGGGACAAGAAAGCTGGAAGGGTTGAGATGCAGGAGCATTTGAGGGGAATGGAGATTGGTGTGTTGGTTTTCGGGAGTGAACTCATCTCTTCACAGGGCTGGGGAAGGGTTTTGTCATGACTGGGTCTTAATCCAATGACTTCTCTTGTGTTCCCAACAAAACCGTCTTTCAAGAACCAAGATGAGAGAAAGATAAGCAGAGACTGAGAGAGTTTACCCTCAAGATACCTCCACTAAAGGAATTTTTAAAGATGTGCGTCCAGAAGAAAAAATGATTGCAGGATAGTTTTCTATGCAAGAAGGAAGCATGGGAAAATAAAATGGCAAACGAATATGGATGATAAATATGTAATATTTATAATATTTAATTTGAGAAGTCTTAAAAAGTTCAAAATTAAAATCCTGGGCAATACTATATTTAAGAGAGGATTACAGTTAAAGCTTTCTAAACTCGGTATTGTTCGGGAGGGAGGATATACCTTAAGCTATAACAAGCATGGTAAAATTTCAAGAAAAACCAGCAGAGAGAGAGTGTTTAAGCTCTAAACCCCTAGAGAAGGTTAAAATGGCGTGAAAACAAACATGCTTCAGTCAAAAGAATTAAAAGAGAAAAGCATGGGAGAAGAGGGACAAATGTAAATTTTTAAGAAGATGGTATTAAAAAGTCCAAATTTATAATAATCCCAATAAAGATGAAAAATTTAACTATGGTTAAAGGAAAGAGATTTTCAGATAGAATTTTTTTAAATCCTTGCCCTGAGGGGGCACCTGGCTGGCTCAGTCAGTGGGAGCATAGGACTCTTGATCTCAGGGTCATGAGTTCAAGCCCTATATTGGCTGTAGAGATTACTTAAAAATAAAATCTTAGGGGCGCCTGGGTGGCTCGGTGAGATAAAGCCTCTACCTTCGGCTCAGGCCATGGTCTCAGGGTTCTGGGATAGAGTTCCGCATAGGGCTCTCTGATCGGAGGGGAGCTGTTTCCTCCCCTCTCTCTGCCTGCCTCTCTGCCTACTTGTGATTTCTGTCAAATAAATAAATAAAATCTTTAAAGAATAAAAAAAATAAAATCTTAAAAAAAATCCTTGCCCTGTGTGAACCTATTTCTGTCTGGTGTCTGGATTTTATGCAAGGACAATGCCTTGTATTCATAAATCAGCCACAGCAGAACAGCCAGGAAGAGGAATAGTGCATGGGCCTGCCGCCTTTATAAACCTTCAAACTTTTTTTTTTTTAAAGATTTTATTTATTTATTTGACAGACAGAGATCACAAGTAGGCAGAGAGAGAGGAGGAAGCAGGCTCCCTGCCGAGCAGAGAGCCCTATGCGGAACTGGATCCCAGGACCCTGGGATCATGACCTGAGCTGAAGGCAGAGGCTTTAACCCACTGAGCCACCCAGGCGCCCCTAAACCTTCAAACTTTTAATGGAATTCAGGGCGATTCCCTTGGAAACGACAAGGTCTCACGTGACCCGCATGACCTGGATCGCGATTCCCTCTGGGGCCCTGGCGACAAGCTTTTTCCTGCACACGCAACTGAGTTCTGAGTCACTTTAGCTCCCAGACAGCTTAAAGCCAGAGTGTGCCCTGACCGTTTATCAGATGTAGGTCAGAGGTGTTGGACTGAAAGGACGGATAATATATGGATGGGAACCCTCCTGGCAGGAAGCAGAAAGGGAAGGACTTTCCAAGTTGGACAAAGAGGGTCTGGGAGGCAGTAAGCTCTTGCGTCCTCCCCTGCTTAGATTTCTGGTGATACCCCCCATCACAGGGGAATCTGATTGGATGTGGAAGCCACTTCCTGTTCTCAGCAAAACTTGATTTCCGATTTCTAAGAGAACGGGGGAAGGAATGGGAAACTAACACTTAGTTGATATGTATTCTCTGCTAGGGACTGAATGAGGTTTTAATACATTGTTTTATTTAATGTCACACAAAAATAAGGAAGCACAAAAATAAGGAACCATTCTGCATTCTGATTATGCAACTGAGAGAATAGGGCTCAGGTGAATTAATGACAGGCCCAGGTCATGGAGCTAGTAAGTGACAGAGCGAGGAGAGGAGAACTTAGAAAAGATCAGTGGTTGCTGGGAGTCGGGATGGAGGGACGGGTGACTAGGCAGAGGACAGAGGATATTTAGGGCATAGAACGTACACCGAGACTGAATGCTGATATAACCATGACTTTGGGTGCTGACAAAGTGCCGGCGTAGTGTCACTGAAGGTAACAGACATACTCCTCTGGTGGGGGGGTGTTGACGAAGGGGGAGTCTCCACATGCATGGGGGCTGTTTTGTGTTTTGCTGTGAAGATAAAACTACTCTAAAAAAATAAATTCTATTTTTAAAAGTAGCTCAAACACACAAGCTCAGAAGAGAAACTTCTAGATTAGGGTTCTTGCCAACTTGTTGAAAATACAGGTTTTTAAACTCAACTCTTAGTAGGGTGTCGTGGAAGTTGTGGACTCAGTCGTTCCTTAATTCTCATCTCGGATTAGATTTTTAAAACATGAAAATACAAAACCCAGGGTGCCTGGGTGGCTCAGTCGGTTGAGTGTCTGTCTGCCTTCAGCTCAGGGCATGATCCCAGGGTCTTAGGATGGAGTCCTGCATTGGGGGGCGGGGGAGGGGGGCAGGGTCCCTGCTCAGCGGGAAGCCTGCTTATCCCTCTCCCTTTTACCCCTCCCCGACTGCTTGTATGCTCTCTCTCAAATAATTAAATAAAATCTAAACAAACAAACAAACAAACCACCAAACCCAGTTCTCTGGTGTTTATGAGACACACCTAAGGCATAAGAGTATGGAGTGGTTGAAAGTTGAACGCTGGGAAAGAATATACCCAGCAAACACTAACCAAAAGAAAGCTGGGAAAGTTCTGTTTATATCAGAGAAAGAGAACTTCAAAGACAAAAATACGAGGGATAGCATGAATGTCTGGACTAAAGGGAGAGATCAGTAGAAAGTTAGAATTCTTCTAAATTTGTCAGTATCCACCTTGAAAGAACCAGAAAGAGATCAAACCATGATTACAGCAAGGGACTGTAATGCATGTCCTCAATCAGGAATAACGAAGCCGACAAACAAGAGTGTGAGGAATGGATGAGCTGAAACACATAATTTAAAAGCTCGATCTGCTCCTAAATTAGAAAGCACAAGCTCTTCAAAAAGATAGGTTTTAGGGCACCTGGGTGGCATGGTCTGTTAAGTGCCTGCCTTCGGCTCAGGTCATGATCCCAGAGTCCTAGGTTTGAGTCCCCCACTGGGCTCCCTGCTCAGTAGGGGGGGCTGCTTCTCCCTCTCCTCCCCACTCATGTTCTTTGTTGTCTCTCTTTTAAATAAATAAGTAATAAATAAAATCTTAAAAAAAAAAAGGCTTTATAGCCCCATATACTCAGTAATGTGAAAACGTACTCTGACCCATAGGTCAACAGAAGACATTGCAATGACACGTTCAAAAAATCTTCGCATTGAGCGATACATATATTAAAATGTCTGGGATGCATTGGAAGTGGCACTTGAAGGGAAATGGATAGCCTTGAATGCTTGCATTAGAAAAAAAGTCAAAAATGAGTATTTAATCTTCAGTAGGTACTCAAGAAGTTAGAAAAAGAACAGCAAAGGAAACCCAAAAGTGACTCAAAAGGGAATCAAGATTAGGGCAGAAATCAAAGTAAACAGAACAACAAAGTAAATGCAAAAGGGAAAAATAAGGAGCAAAACCCAACAAAATAGAAAACAAAACTATGGTAGACAGGATTAATGAAACCAAAAGTTCTCCAGAGAAGCTCATAGTGCGGGCAAGTCTCTGGGGAAATTTACTTACAAACCAAAGAAGGCACAAGTCGCCGTTGTTATTCGTTATTCAGAATGAAAAGAGGATTACAATGAAGACAGTACAAACCTACAGAAACAGAAGGTTGACGTGGTTGCCAGTGATTGGGGGAGGGGAAGTGAGCATGTTTCCTCTGCATAGTTTCAGTTTGCCAAGACGAAAACACTCTGGGAATTAGCTGTCAAACAACGTGAATGCACTTAACCAATTCTACACCGAAAAATGGTTAAGATGGTACATTTTATGTTATGTGTATTTTACCACAATTAAAAATTTTAAAACACTGTAAATGACTTAGGCAAAAAAAAAAAAAAAAAAAAAAAAGCAAAGCAAAGCAGGTCAAATCTTAGAAAGATAAAATTTACCAAAATTGATTTGAGAAGAAATAAAAAGTCTGAATGGTTCTATAACTACTAAAGAAACAGGGGCGCCTGGGTGGCTTGTTCGGTTGGGCAGCTGCCTTCGCCTCGGGTTGTGATCCCAGGGTCTTGAGATCGAGCCCCGCATCCGGCTCCCTGCTCAGTAGAGAGCCTGCTTTTCCCTCTCCCTCTGCCAGCCGCTCTGCCTACTTGTGCTATCTCTCTGTCAAATAAATAAATTAAATAAATCCTTAAAAAAAAACTGAATCCATAATTTAAAATCTCCCCACAAAGGAAACACCTAGTCCAGATGGTGTTACGCAAGTTTAAGTAGAGGCAATTCTAATTTCACAAAAACCCTCCCTGAGAATGGAAAAAGCAGGAACACAACTCCTTCTACGAGGCCAGGGTAACCTTCACCTTAACATCAAAATGAGACCAGCGCGGGATGAGAAAGAAAGATTAGAGGCCAGTCTCACTCATGGATATAAATGCGACAATTAAACGAAAAATGCTAGCCAACCAAATAAAGACATAGAGCAGTGTATAAATATACACTTCATATCCAAATTGAGTTTATCTCAGCTATGCAGAAGTAGCTTAATAATAGAAGAAACCCCACAGGTATCATTTATTATGTTGGTAATAGAAGACTTTGTGGGACGCCTGGGTGGCTCAGTGGGTTAAGCTCTGCCTTCGGCTCAGGTCATGATCCCAGGGTTCTGGGATCGAGCCCCGCATCGGGCTCTCTGCTCAGTGGGGAGCCTGCTTCCTTCTCTCTCTCTCTCTCTGCCTACTTGTGATCTCTGTCTGTTGAATAAATAAATAAAATCTTCAAAAAAAAAAAAAAAGAAGACTTTGTGCTCTGTCATATCACTTCTGCCCTCCTCTGATATCAGTAGTACTTACTGTGGATAATTTCGTGCAGACTTAGACTCACCTCGCCCTGCAGGGTCCCGCCTCAAGTTTATACCATGTTTCTTTTTGCTTCTTGCCCCCCAGTCTTCTTCAATGCTTTAGAAGCCACATATCAGCCTGCTAAGTGTTTCCCAAAAGTGGGAGAGAAGTGCCCTAAGACACATCCCTCCCCCAGTGAGGGACCAGCTAGAGGATGATATGAGCTCCAGCCTCCCGTTCTCCTTGGGCGACTGTGGGAGGCCTCCGGCAGGCTTCTCTGAGCGGGAGTCAAGCTCCCTTTGCCTGTGGCCACGACATCAGTCACGCACCTTTAATCGGCTTTTCTTTCTCCCCATCTCTGTCCCCCTGTTCTTTCACTCCGGGCTTTCTGGGATCACCTCTCAACCTACCTGAACCCAAGTCCTTGTTCCAGGCTCTGCCTTTAAAGGAGCCCAAACTAAAAACTTACTTAACAGATTTAGGAAGAAAAACATAGGATCATCCAGAAGAAAAAATATTCAATATCCTTTCGTGAGAAAGATCTTAGATTAGAAGGAAACCTTTTTTTCTTTTAAGTAATCTCTGCATCCAACATTGGGGCTCAAACTCACATCCCCGAGATCGAGAGTCACATGCTCTACCGACTGAGCCCACCAGGCACCCCTAGAAGAAAACGTCTTTAAGCTGGTAAAGAGAACTTACAAAAAGCTTATGCATGTATTATATTTAATGAGTAAATCTCAGGAGCATTTCCTATAAAAGCCGGACCCAGAGGAGGATGCCTACTATCTCTGCTATTTTCAACATTGCTCCAGAAGTCCTAGACAAACTATCAGCGTTTTCATATGATAGGATTGCCTGCGTCGAAAATCCAAAAGAATGGTCTCACAAGCGATTCCAAATTACAAAGGATTTTAGCAAGCCAACTAGGTTTCAGATCAGTATCCAAAACCAAGTTGCTTTTATGTCTATCAGTAACATAGAATAATATAATTTTGAAAGCACGTCATTTATAGCAGCAGTAAAAGAGGAATAACCTAGCAAAACCCGTGTCAGACCGATAGTGAGAAAGTTATCAAAGGGATTCATCAGGAACTCCAGATGCCATCCTAAGAAGAAGGGGACCATCCCTTTCTCTCTGCATCTGCTCGGAGCACAGCTCTGACGGTTCAAGCCTTACCCACATGGGCCTGCCGACCAGAAGGCAGCCCCATGCTTCTAAATCCGTCACCCGATGGCAGAGCAGGAGAGGAAGTGGGAGGACAAAAACAGGAAACAACCGTAAAAGCAAGGTCAATACGGGCAGTGGGGGGTGGGGGCTGCTTCACCCAGCAGGGAACATCTGCCCAGAAGGAACTCAGGGGATCTCTGCCCGCTTTCCTCTCTGTTCCCAGGGAAACAGGCCAAGAAAGGGGAAGGGACTAGAAGTGAGGCCTTGATGCCAAGAGGGAAGGGAGAGTCGTGACCTTACCCGTCGTCGTGGTAGTGGGCTGGAGGCCGATGGGAGGACTGTGCTGGGTGGGGGGGGGGGCAGGAAGCAGGGCAGCCCGGAGCCCAGCGCCTGGAGAGGTGGAAGGGGAAAATGTGCTCCCACTTCTGCGTCTCTGTGGTTCTGCGTGTGTGAACTCGGACTCCTCCCTCCCTCTGCACGTCGGAGTTACGTGCTTTCCTGCGCCAGGCTCCCCATTCGGACGAACCTCATTTTCAGACCCCTCCTGCTTGTATTTTTTTTAAATGTGGCAAAATACACGCAACTAGAAAAGGTACCATTTTAACCATTTTTAGGGCACCGTGCTGTGGCCTTCAGGTTCGTTTACACTGTCCTGCTCCCATCACCACCACCGGCATCGATCGTCTCCTTTCCAGACTGCAACGTGGTCCCATTAAACACTAACTCCCAGTCCCTGGCCCCTCCCAGCACCCCCGCAACCACTGTTTTTCTCTCCGACTGTGCAAATCAGATTACTCCAGGAACCACGCATCAGCAGGACCCTACTGTGTCAGAACCTGCTTCTTTTTAAAGTCTGATTAATGCTCAGCCGCCTGCGCACACCCTATTCCTTATCCACTCTGGGTTCCTTCCACCTTTTGGCTACTGTGCATAACGCTGCCTTGGATGTGGGCACAGACACGTCCTCCAGGCCCTGCTTTCAGGTCTTCAAAGGGTAGACCCCATAAGTGGAATAACCAAGTCCTAGGACAGTTCTAGGTGCAAGGTTTTGAGGAACCGACATGGGCTCTCCCCCGACTCTCTCTCTCTGGATGTGCAGTGTCTGCACCGCTGGGGGCCTTTGATGGGCAGAGGGGTCCAGGATGAGCTGCCTGTTGTCCCCCTGCAGGAGGCTGGTTACTGTCCCAGAGCTGGCTCTTCCCTGTATGGACATGTCCTGCCACGAGAGACTTCTATTTGTGATGAAGAACCATCGTGGATCTTGCCACATTTGCCACCTCACCTAGCAATGAAAAAAATAAAACCTACCCCAGCGGAGTGGTTTTGTCCCAATAGGCAGAAAGTATCAAAGCCAGGTGCAAGGGTGGGTGCCGGACCGCAAGCTTGACTCACACACCAGCGGGGGATCTTGCTCCCACAAGCCAGCCCTACGTACTATTTAAATTCCTGGCTGAGCAAAGTCATAAATTAGATTATGTGACAGACCACGGGGCAGGGAAGGCCATGAATGCTGAGGGTCTGCTGGGTTCTGGAACAATCCCTCTTGGTATCTTTGTGCATTGGTACCTTCACAAAAGTTCTTTTTGGAATCTCCCTGTCATACTGCTGGTGAAACAAAGCCAATGTGGGATGTTGGGTAGGAGGACATCAGGGCCCAAGGCGTGGAGTTGCCCACGTGACTTGAAACTTTTGATGGCATCTATCATAGACACAAATTAGAATGCAGTCTCATTGCAGTTTCCCCAGGAGTTATGCCTGGACTTGGCCCTTTTTGAGAGGAACCCCTCCTTTCTCTATTCTAGAAGGTTTTCTAGGGAGCTTCTGTCCTCCTACTCGATACCACTTTCCTGTCAAATGATTGGTCCAAGGTTGGTGTCGCAGTGCCCCGTGTTCAGGTCTAACCTTGAGGGATTTTGGTGGTGGTGTTGTTTAACAAGTTGGAGAAAGAGCCTTTCCCTGCCCGGATGCAGAGGTCCGAAGACAAATGCCACCTAAGGCTATCACCCCATTCACAGGAGAGGGGGAATCTGTAGAAGGTGAGGAGGTCAAAATGCACACAGAAGAGGTGAAATCATTCTGATGGCATTCTGGCTCCTGGTTCCAGCCATTCCTGAAGGCCTGTTCTTGAAGGTGGGTTTCCATGAGCCTATCCTTTTGCCATTTTTGCTTAAGTCAGTTTCAGCTGGATTCTGCCCTGTGTAACCAGAGTCTGGAGTAAGAAACCATGAATCATGCCAGAGAACCTGATCAGTCAACCACGGAATCTTCCAGAATAAAATTGCACATTGATTGGATTGGCTCTGGCACCGGTGGCTTCATCTGGTGCTGGGTCTTCACAGTAAGAGGGCGGGTGAAAAGGTATCAATGCTTGAGAACATCTCCACATGCCTTTTGGTTTAAGGTTTAGGAAGTAATACAGCATTTTGGCAATTGCTTTTTCAACTCTCGGTGGGTGAAAGCAAAATTGCTTTGTATTGAGGAAAATCCGAGCGTGTAAGCAGTTCATTGTAGATTGCTGTGCCTTGCATAGGGTTCCTTCCTAATTCAGACTTGCTCTGTTTTGTCGGAGACGGCATCTGGCTGCATCTAGACACTCCCTGGGCCAGGGGGGAGCAAAGAGGGGAATGCGTGGGTTGTCTGAGCAAGGTATGTGGGCTCTGTGGCAGGAGACCCCCACAGGGCCCCTCTTGGCTCATGAGGCATCAGGCCCCAGAATCACTAATCAGAGCCAGGACTGTAATAACTGTAACAACCTGGTACTAAGGGGAGGGCAGGAGCCTGGCAAGACTTCCCTGATGGGTGAGTGTGATCTTGGGGACCCAAGCTTGCTTTTCAGAGGGGGCGTAAATGAGAGAAGGGGCTCGGAAAGTAGGCTTCGGCGCTGGCATTTACAGGCTCTTATCAACCCTTCCCCTGTCCAGGGGGGTCTAGACCTGGTCCCTAGCACTGTTCCTGACTCTCCTAAAATACAGTGAAATTGGAATTTTACATATATTATTTTTAGTGTGTCTCAAACATCGCACATGGTAACAGGGGCAACTTGTGTATGTGTATATTGTGTTTTTTAAGCTCTCCAGCTAACTCCAGGGTGCACAATGTGGAGCACCAGCACGCGGGGTGGAAAAGCAGAAAGGGGGGCGAGAAGTCTGGAAGTGAGCAGGGGCTGAAGCATGAAGGCTTGGTCCCCTTTGGTGCACTGGGGAGGGCAGGGGTCAGCTGGGGGCACAGAGCACAGAAGGTGCTTGAAAATCCCTAAGAGTGAGCTGAGGAAGGGGGAAGGCCGCAGCGGTCCCTCTTCCGAAGGGTGGGTGGCATCTTCTTACTGCAAACAGTATCATACTCCACCTGGATGCCAAGCTCGACCGAAGCCTGGCTGTGAAGCCCCCAGAGCCGTCTCAGGAGAGGGCAGCTTTGAGCAGTCGAGATGCTGGGCCCACCTCAGAACTGACTGATCATAACCCTGCGTGCCTGCATTCAGAGCTGTGCAGACAGTTCTGACGCCTCGCTCAGGTCCATCCCTGACCTGCAAGCCCCCAACCCCTGTCTCTGTTCCCCCAACTCCCACCGTTTTGTAGCTTCTGGGGCAGATCCCGTTTCATGTCTATTTCCTTCCCCTCACTGCTAGGTTTCTGGGGGCCTCTTCTCTGAGCTACCGAGAGCATGCTCAAGAAATGCTTGTTGGACTTAATTAAGCTTACGGACTTGGCTTTCTGAGACATGAGCAAGTGCCCTCGAATTTTCACTCACATCACCTTGGAGAGGCCCATCCCCAGAGCTGCCAATTCACCCAGTCTGGCACAAGGCCGGAGAATTTGGATTCTGAAAATTTCCCGGGTGATGCTGATGCTTCTGATCCCAAGACCACACTGTTTTAGCAAGAATAAGAATATGCTCTCCGTTTAAATAAAGTCAAGGCGGGGGTCTGGGTGGCTCAGTGGGTTAAGCCTCTGCCTTCGGCTCTGGTCATGATCTTGGGGTCCTGGGATCGAGTCCGGGGTCCTGGGATCGAGTCCGTGTTGGGCTCTCTGCACAGCGGGGAGCCTTCTTCCCTCTCTCTGCCTCTCTGCCTACTTGTGATCTCTGTCTGTAGAATAAATGAAAAATCTTTAAAAAAAAATATAAATAAATAAATAAAGTCAAGGGAGTTGCAACTACAAGTAGAAACAGGGATTCAGAGTAGAAATTCCACGTCCTTGGAAGGCTAGTGCTTCATGGACTCAGCGGCCTTCAGGCTGAAGGATGGAAACTGTGGGTCATTCTGACGGAGCGTGATTCTCTGCACAGCTTCTTGTCGACTGTGTGACTTTGGGCAAGTTGCCTAACTTCTCTGAGCTTCAATCTGCCTACCTGTAACATGCAGAGAATACAGACAGCCAACGTTTCTGCTGCGCTTACTCCGTGTGGGTGTTGAGTAGTTGGGTTTTTTGAGCAGCCGTGCAGCAGCCGCAAGAGGCCACACAAGATTATTCCAGGCGATTGGGATCCCACATCTAAGCCCTAAGACCCTCTTGCCCACCTTAGAGCCCCCTCGAAGGGCTTCTGGACTACTGCGTGGATCCAGAGAATGTCAGATCCCAAGACCACTCCCATACAGGAGGGGGCTCTACATTGTATGTTACATGTCCGTGCTCGAGTGAGAAGAACTTGTGTATAAGCATTACTTCATAAAGGACTTGAGCTGTTTACAAAGCCAGGTCCTTTGGCCTCTTTTTGGGGATCCCAGTGTCATCTCACAGGGAGCAGGCCGGCAGAGTTCGGAGGAGCAGTGGCCACACACGGGACTGGGGACCGCACAGGGTGCTGCTGCTGGCCCAGGAGGAAACGAGGCTGCACACGGGCGCCATCTAGTGGCCGAAGTGACAAGGGGCCGGCTCCTCAGTCTGAGAGGCAGAAATAAATTCTCTGGATGGAGTGGCGGTGGTAGGTCACGTTTCTTTGCAAACACAAAGAGGCTGGAAATGGGCTGGGATCCTGGGGGGCTGTTTTTAAGGAAGGTGATCTACATAGATGCAGCAAACTTATCCAGAACCACCCAACAGCCCAAGAGCTGACCGAGGGCGAGTTGAGAGGACCTCTCCCAGAAGGAAGATCCACTTTTCCCTGGAAAACGCGGATGCCAGGGTAGGCACCTGTTGTCTTTTTCTTCCTTTCACCTTTATTGCAAGGGAGAGAATAAACTGAGATGCTTGACTAGGAACCCAGATGGGGAAAAGAGCTGCTTCCTTAGGAAAGACACCAAAGGCACCTCCTTGGCTTCTTGGAAAAGCAAAGGCAAAATCCAAGGGTGTGTGAGGTTACTTTTTTGTTTTACTGCCAGGCTGTTCTCTTTTGGGGCCTGAATGATAGATTAAGTGATATCTGAATATGGTTAAAGAT